AAATTAGAGATTTTTTGCGACACCGCACTGTTTTGGCCATAACTTTTGACTCGGTGATCCGATTTGAGCAAACCTTTTTTTGTTGGAAAGCTAACGAAAAGATCTACATTAATTCTCGGGCTACGCCCTAGAACCCATACTCACGCGCCCTCACTCGCAGTCTTTGAGGGTCAAAACGTTAGTTTTCCGACAAACATTGTAAATCACCGATGTCCAGGTCAAAACTTAGGCAAATCTGTTCAAATTCTTTCAATGTCAACCCTGAGGTCAAAGCTTTTCTAAAACTTCAATGTAAAGGTCTGAAAATCGTAGATAATTCAATCAACCTCGCGTCAACGGTCATCTTACAACAATCAACAATCAACTGCTGAAGCCTCCCCTGACTCATCAACATTATGTGTTCATCAATATGCTGAAATTCTACATGGTGAGTTCAGGGAAACCGTCATGTGTGGTACATGTTTAGATTGCTCCACACACATAGCGGGTATGACAAGCTGTGAGCAATCAATCCTTGCACATTCTGAGGGGGAGTTTCAGTTTTCTCCTCCTGGCGCCTTACACCGACAAAGCAAGGAATCTCTCAACGGATGCAACATTCTAGGGGGAGTGTTCAATGTTATCCTCCCCGGTGCCTAACAATGACAAAGCATACCGGGTGCTCCAGTTGAGGGGGAGCACAGAGAGAAAATGAAGAAAGTAATGAGAGAACATGTCCCTATGGCTTAGTAAACCCAACTAAGCCTACCCAAGGGACAAAGCCGAGCGTAAGTGCGTAAGTGAGCGAGTGAGTGAGTGAACATTATGAGCATTAGGAAGCAGAAGGCTCAAGTGAGAAGAAAAACAATTATCAATGATGAGTCTGCTACCTCAATTGCCTGCTATGAATTGAACATTTGCTCCTAGCCACTAAAATACTCTGGACTATCCCCATAGGTTCAGGACTGAATTTATTCAGATCCCGGGTAGAAGTCGCTGCATTTTGTCCAAACGGCGCATGCACAACCCTACCCTAGACCACTCACTTGTCTCCCAACAGACAGGTGTTTAATCATAGTTCACGGGGAACCGCATCTCTCATTACTGTCTCCTTCCGAGGCAAGTAATACTGACTACAGTGGCCTCAGCCCCATGCCACTGAATTTTTCATTGATCACGTCGTGTCTAGTTACTCACTTCCCAAATGTTTTGAAATTTTCTAGGACACAGACACATTTTAGAGTCAGTTGATAGTCTTCAAGACTTGCGAGAACTTCCATAGGGCTCATCTATTACAGATGTAGACCAATAATTGGAAGGAAGTCCTGCTGTTGCAACATAAGAATCACCAACATTTTCAGGCCATTGCTTTAGAGTTTATCTCTATAGTGATGATAACGGGTATCTTCACGACCCCGGGGGGCTACGTTATCTTTTTTAGATTCTGCTTGTTTTTCATGTTTTTATTTCCGCAGAATAAAAGAATAAAAGCATGACGTCCCGATTCATCGGATCGTCATGAGGGGGAGAGTGGTCCACATGCTGTTAACACTGAACAAATCATTCTGGGACACTTCACTCCTCCATCACAAAATTCAACACCCTCTCTACTATCTCCGCAACTCAAATCAAATGGTCAGCTACACTCACAAATCAACGATCATTATGTTCCGCTGTGCCACCGACAAGTTCTCCTCAAATGCATTCATTCCAAATAGTCAAAAAGACTACATTGTGGAGGAGACAGAGGTCAAATACTCCTGTCCTGAAGATGAATTCCATGGGCGTCTCCTATTCTCCAAAGAACATTCATTCTAGAGGCGTCACCGGACTTCATCCAAGCTGATCAAGAGCAACTTCTGGAAGGCAAGGACTACATGCAAGATACTGAAGGTCCCTCAACCCCCGACATCAAAGATCAAATTGTCAAGAAGACATCAAAGGGGAGATTGCAAGGATGTCTTCAGATAGCCTTCCTCAGAAGTCAAGTTCAAAGACAAAGGAAGCTCAATAACAACAAAGACAAAGATATCTGCGCTGCAATGCTGATTCAACACGATTGATCACCAAGGGGGAGATTGTTGGGAATATTTTATGGTGTTCAATCTAGTTAGTTATCTTTGCATTTGTGTAGTTATCAATTAATCGTGTAATACGGGCCACAAATGTGTATCAGCCCGTGGGCTTCCTTGTAACCCGTAAGTTAGCCAACTTCTCCTATAAAAGGAGGCTAACTTACGGGAACCCTAAATAGTGAGAGGCTTAGAGACGCAGAGGCGTAGAGATAGAGAGAGATTAGGTTTGCCGCTGCTCTCCTTCTCCAAGGAGAGCAGCGGACAGTTCATACGGTATATCAGATTCACGTTCAATCTTGTCGATTTCTTTCTATCTGCTTCTTCTATAACTGCTATATTTGTTGTTTGTTAAGTATTCTGGGATTAACAGTTTAGAATAGCATTTATTTATATGTTTCTACCTATGTTTAGTCTCCAAATGAGAAGCTAAACTTCCATTTCTTGGTTTTGCTCTTGAAGCTTGTTGATTATTAAAGTTGTGAGTTATTTTCTTAACTTCTCTTCTTGAATATTAATTCTTTCTTTAATCTCATTTCTATATTAATGTTGGGGTGTTGCTAAGTGACGATTAGTTAATGCTTCAATATTAATTATTACTAGAAATGATCAAGGAACCGATGGTTAATCGTTGATGGTTTCACAAGTAAGTAACTTCGGTTTATTAATGCACGGTAGTGGTTAATAAACATAAGAGGGATTAGTTTTGTTGGTTAAACCGAAACCATTGTGTTGAGGTTATCAATCTCAATTGATTTCATCGAGGAGTTAGAAAGATTAAATGCTACTATTAAATCTGTATAAGGCGTTGTTCTATATTTGATTTATAGTAAGAGTTATAATTAATGAACTATTAAATCGGTTGTTGTTAATAACTACTCTCGATGAATTGGAGATACTCCTCGATTGAGTATTTGAGAGTGGATAAGTTATAGATATAACAAGAATCGACTGAATATATCAACAAGTGGAAAGTAGAAAAGCCAAGTCCTTTTATCTTTGAATTAAAACACATATATGTTGTTAATCTTAATTTCTTATTAAATTAAATCATTCAACCCCAAAACCATCCTTTAATTACTAGTTTCTTTTAAAAAGAGAATTATTTTTTTCCTTGTGGATACGAACTCTACTACGCTATACTCCGTATAAGTGTTAGTATTGAATTTATTTTAACGCACCATGACAAAGTGCTCGTCAATACTCCACCCAAAATAATTATAGAAATTGCTCAATATAGAACTAAAATTTACACAAAATTTTAAAAAAGGACGAGGTATGGTTTATTTCTCCAATGGGACTCCTACTTTGGAATAAAAATAAAACAATGATAGTCCCATACTTCTATTTATGAACTTTATTTTTATTTTAGTGCTATTTAGGAAATTTTTCTCATATATTTATCCACAATAACGATTATTTAACTGGAATATAATATTTATGACATAAAATTTCTCACTCGCGATTAGGGTGGGGTTCAAAAAACTGCAAACCGAAAATCGAATAAAAATAATTTGAACCACAAACAAATTAAATCAAACCGCAAAAACTCAAAAACGAATGCAAAAACCGAACCATAGTTGTTTAGTTTGGTTTTTATTTTTTCCTTTCAAAACCAAAACAGATCGAATAAATCGAACTAATGAAAATAAAAATTTTTATTTGTTAATCGTTAACCATTTGTCTTAATATATTTGATTTTGAGCCCGTTTGGTAACCCTGTTTTTCAAGCATATCAGTCACATTTTTCACCAAACACGTAACTTTTGATTTTGCGCGCTGAATTGTGTAATAATAAGAAAAAGAGATATTACCCAAAATAGGACTAAAACAGTTTGGAAATTCCAAATTAGTACTGTGATGCTTTTATTCCCAAAATATGACTAAATACTGACATGTTTTGGCAGTACCAGATTTCAAACATCGCCGTATTTTCTAAACATGACAGTAATTAGTCTTATTTTAGGAATAAAAAACATGGCAATCCTATTTTGGAATTTTCAAACTGTTTGTCCTATTTCGGGAACTTTCCCTAAGAAAAAGTAAGTTTGGAGTTACTTTTCTGGTTGTATTGGCTGAAGTTACCGTAGAGTATCATTTTAGCTATTTTCCATATGATTTTTCCTTTATTTTATAAATAAATTTTTTTTAAATATAATGTTTTCATAAATAGGCAGAATCAGCCAATCCAGTCACTTTAGCTAGAACTACATAAGTTTATGCAGAATCAGCCGATTCAACCAATTGCAGTGTTATTAAATGGGCTCTTTATTTTATCCTAATACTTCGTATTAGAAGTGAAAAATAATACCCGTAGAGATTCTTTGTTTTACTTGTTTCATTTAACACTAAATTTTTATCAGACTTCAAAGAAAGTTAATTTCTTGTCTTAACAACAAACATTGAATTGTTTTTTTTTGTTTTTATTTCCTTCCTATCAATTCAAGCATAAACTCTTAGAATCTTTCTAACATTATTGTTCTATTTTTCTCCTTTTGTCTTTAAGAAGCTTTTTTATTTTGATACTCCGACCGTTATACCATTGAATCTTTTGGTACCTATAAAATTGAAAATTTCCACTTATTCAATCTTTTAAGCAATAACTACCGTAACATTTGTACCCGATCGTTTACGAGTCTTTTGAAATTTTCACTTTTAGGCATTTGACTATGTCATAATAATGACATTTTGATTCCCGAACTAATTAACTTGACGAAATTCCAAAAATAAGCACACAAGTATGAGAAATTTCATAGTCAAACTAATAAGACGTATGAACAAAGACCGGGCCTAGCTACCCATATATTCACTTCAACTTGTAGATAAAGCAACCATAAAACAAACGTATATGCTTTTCTTTAATTATAAGTTTGATTTGTACATGAATTGCATCTGCTCTATATAAGGTAAGAATGTGTTTTTTTTTTTTTAGCTTGATTGTACGTAGTAGCGTAATCTTGTTTTAACTAATTATCAGCTTTCTTCATATACCACCAGATTCGATCAATTTATTTAAGCTAAGCTAGTATGGATGGCGCCACCAGGACCAACAACAATGGCGGCAGCCCACCAAGCTGGCTTGATTATTTATGTGTTGAATGAGATACTATTGTGAGCCCCCCACCTTCATCTCATGAAAGAAGAAGATGTCCTACAAATTCCAGCCACAGACTAGTTGGATTCATCAGAGCAGTTTTGGACAACCAGTTCTGTTACTGGTGCAAGACATGTCTAAGGCATCAGCTCTCATCAATACCATTGCTTGAAATTATCACTACATGCACTCAATGTGCAATCCCCATGTATCAAATTCGAGGGATGATATTCCAGCCTACAGAACATTTATTTGGGATCGTTACGGGGTCTCCTGCAGCAGCTGGTCTGCCACCCCTAGATCATCTCGATATACAGCTGATTTTACCACTCTTTGAACGAATAACGGGATACTCGATTTCCTTCACTAGTGTAATCGCAACACTTCGGATGGTGAAAGTCTTGGAATCTCATTTGAGAGAGCAATCTAAATGTCCAATTTGCCTGGGAGAGTTTGGGGCAGGTGAGGATGCATGCGAGTTGCCGTGTAAGCATATTTACCATAGGGAATGTGTTGTTCCATGGCTTAGGCGTAGAAATATTTGTCCTGTCTGTCGACAACCTGCAACCTCAACTAGTATTAGTGTGTGTGATCGGGATGAGTTTGTGTGTGCACGTGAGCTGGAGCTAGAGCGTGCACGTGAGCGGGAGTCAGTGCGTGCACGTGAGCGTGAACGGGAGCTTGAGCATGCACGTGAGCGTGAACGGGAGCTTGAGCGTGCGCATGAGCGTGAGCTGGAGCTAGAGCGTGCACATGAGCGGGAGTCTGCGCGTGCACGTGAGCGTGAGCTGGAGCTAGAGCGTGCACATGCACGTGAGCGTGAACGCGAGCTTGAGCGTGCACGTGAGCGTGAACGGGAGCTTGGGCGTGCACTTAAGCTAGAGCTTGAGCGTAAACAAAATCAGAACATCATTATATTTATTAAATTTAGTGTACTTACTTTATATGTACTATGCGTGTACTTCATTGTAAGAAAATTAAGAAATGACTCTAAATAGGAATAAGATCATATATGGATGTCAAAATAAGACTACTAGTGTTTTATTACCTAATTAAATAAGTGTAAATATTTTCATTTTTGGCATCACCAGACTTTAGGGATATTTTCTTTTGGATTGAAATTGATGGTCTAGTCTGGTCTCTTTAAGTCTGGTCTAGTCTAGTCTGGTCTGAACTGGTATGGTAAATGTCAGGTTTCTGTGTATTTTATAACTTTCCAAGTCTGCACTAGTACAAAAAAGGCTTTTTACATCACCATATCTACATGTGTTATGATATAACCCATGTGAAATAGTGACACGGGGTCATTTTTACAATTTTTATAAACTTTTTCACATGGGTTGTTGATATATCCGATGTTAAACACTGAAATGGGGGTACTTTTTAAAATTTAACAAAATATTCTAAATCGGTTATCTCTGGAATCGATGTGGAAAAACAAACGGGGTAATTTTTAGTATTATCGAAACTTCATTTGAGATCGGTCGAAACTGATGTCTGATGCAAAAGAAATACTCAATTTTTTGGCTATTATTATTCAGATCGGTTAAACCTATCTGGATTACTTCAAATTCTCGTCTCCCCTGATTTAACCGATTTCAGACCTAGAAGGCCAGCGTTAGCGTAAGGTTCGTGTGAGTGACGGAAGGCGGCGAGTGACCGAATAGGTCGGACCCGGTGGCGAGTGACGGAGCAGGTCGGACCCGGCGGCGAGTGACGGAGCAGATCAGACCCGGAGGCGAGTGATCGAATAGATCAGACCAGGCGGCGAGTGACGGAGTAGGTCAGACCCACTGGCGAGTGATAGAGCGACTCTGGCATCTTGTGCAGTTCCCGACTTCGACCAAGGGTTGGACGGGGTTCGAGCGGACAGCCTGGTCGGACGGCGTTCCGGTAGGCGTGCCTTCGTTTTCGGCTGGCTTCGAGTGAGCAGACTTTCGTCATTGGCTGGTGTACGAGTTAGGAGACCTTCTTCGTCAAACGCGTTTGAGTGAGCACACTGGTAAGTATAATTTCTTTTTTAACTCATCGAAATTTAGTTGTTGTTGATTTGCTCTGGTCGAAACTTTCATAAATTGCTTATTGGTTGGGGTTTATTTCCTAGCTGCTGTAGATTTTGTCTGCGTTGAATTGGTTATTATTTATTTCGTCTTACTGCAGCTTCTGCTATTTGGATTTAGGGTTACAAGTTGGTTGCTATATTTACGAATATCAACTTCAACAAAAATATTTACCTCATTAGAGCTATTTTTAGTTATTTCAAGAAAAATGGCAGCTTTGTTGTGAGGGGACTAGGTGATGTTGGAGCATGACATATAGAATTAGTATATTTAGCAGAAAAATAACCTCTCTTTTTTGGTTTAAATTGTAAAAGTGTTTGCTGGAAGCTTCTTCTTTTGATGAAAAGATATGTAGATTGAAAGAAGAGTGTTATTATTAAACTGCTGAAGTGTTGAAGGAGATTCCCATGTGCTCATTGTTTGAACTAATTTTTCTTAATGGAATGATACTATGCTTAAAAGTGTTACTCTCTTAGTTCTGGCATGATTAATCTAAAAACAATATATTGGTTTGTAAGAAGCTTTCTGGAGTGGACTACATGGTTATTGATCTAGTTCTAGAATTTTGTTTTTTTCTATATGCCCATGTCATTGTTTTTAAAACCACTTTCATGAATATGTTGAACAAAGATATATAGCACATGGACACACAGAGTCCAATTAGTTTTATTATTGTTTTTTTAAACAAGAAAAAAACTCACTGAAATCTAGTGAATGGATTTGGTATTGGCTAATATTCATTGTTATTAGTATTGGAATTGGTTTGTAATTTCTAAAAATTGCATCTTTGTTGTGTTTGAATTTTATGTAATTTCCATGGTTTTTGTCCATGAGTTGCTTAATTCATGTAATTTCCACAGGATGTTTTCAGTTTCCCTCCACTAGTAGAACCATATTGCTATTGTGTAGCCAGTGTTGTTACTGGATATGGAGTGTTTGGGAATATAGTTTCATTATTTTGAAATTTCAGCTTCAAGCTACAAGTTGTCTCTATTTTGAAGTTAGCTTAATTACATTATTCCGGATAAGGAACCTGAGAAATGGAAATCTTAATTCCATTTAGAAAACTTCAAGCAATGGATATCTAACCCTTTCTGAGTTATTGAGTTTAATCCGCGAATACATCTCATTTGGCAGATCATGGACTTGAATAAGCCATTGGAAAGTTCTCCAGTTGTCAAATTTGTTAGGCAACTCTCCTTTGGCAATTTATATCTTTTTAATAAGATCAGATTGACCATAAACAGATGATATAAATATAACCATACCATATATTATTTTCGTCGTTTAGCAAATGTGGTAAGTATCTTACTTTTCATTCTTTTGTAAAAGTTTCTTTTCAATGCCGTTTATTGAGTTTCATTGACAAATATGTTACATGGTATTAAAATTGCAGGATATAATCTTTTAGCTTTCAAAATATGGATTTGGACATAAGCGACATTGAATGTTTTAGTGAGAACAGCATCAGCGAGAATTAATAATTATGGTGGAAAAGCTTGTTCGATTATATCTAGTCTTGAAGATACTCTTGGAAGAATAATAGACGATTGCTTATCCTTTGAAAGGGTGTTTATACAAGGAGACTTAGTTTGCTTAGTAAAGGATGAACCATCTGGGCAGACCGTTAGAGTGGAGATCTAAAAGTAGGTTTGTCCTTTTGAGAAGAATGGGTAATGACATTAAGGTTAGTAATTTAATTTTAATGTTCTACAAGTTTTTATTTTATGATGTCTTTCAGAATAACTTTTGCTAGTTTAAAGTATTTTATTTAATTGTGTCCCAGTTTAAAGAATTCTGACTACAGATTGTCTTTTTCGGTTTTTGCAAGCGAAGTGGAAGAAAAATATCATAAGAAACACATGTTCTAGGCCACAACAAGATAAAGAAAGGTATGAACAATCTTCCTTTTAATTTGTTCTGAGTATAAGTGATTGAAATATCGGTACTAGTTATATATTTTATCATCTATTAGGAATATAATCTTTTGTCTTTTCGTTAGACCTTGGGTAAGCTGATGAAAAGGTCAACGAGCTATATATTTTTCACTTCACTGCTGCTTTGATTGCCACTGCGTTACAATCTCATCACTTTTCACAACCAGGACTTGCCTCAAACATTTCCTGGTGACCCTGCTCTGGATGAGTATGAAAAGAATGATTTCAAGCGTTTACTTACTGCATAGGCTGGACATAATCCTTTTGTCTGTTACTGTCAGGTATGCCTTTTATGCGATTTTACATTTTCACACTTCTATTTTGAGTAGAATTGTATGAACTGTGAACATGGAAAAGTCCAAACCTTGGTTAGTAATAATGTTTAGACATAGTAATGTTGTAATCTCAAGAGTTATAGTAAAGTAGGTACTACTGAGTATATTTTGATGGTCCCGGATAGGGTAAAAGTCTAGAGGGGGGGTGAATAGACTTTTAAATCTTTTTCAATTTTACAAAGTTTTCCCTCTAGAAAAGTTGATCTATAATCTTTTGAGAGATTAATAGATGCACAGCGGAAGTCTTTACCCTTTATGTAATAAGTGTTTGACCACTTTCTAATTTGGGGAAGATTGGACTTAGATAGCTAGCAGTTGGCTTGGCAGTTAGCTTGGCAGTTGGCTAGATAGCAGGGAACTGCTGAGGTAACTGCTAGAGAAATATTGACTCTTAATTAATGCCAGATGAAAATGCATTTTGGCAAGTGAAAAGGTTGTTTGACATTTTTTAAAGAGACATATTTTATTTCTATTAATTGCATATAGTTGGTATTCTACCTTTAAGAATATGAAATTCATAGTTTTTATTCTTTTTTTTTGCTTTATGAAGTTTCCGTTCTTCAGGACATTCAAGATGACAAAGGGTTGGACTTCTACATGTTCACAAATAGGGCTCGGACAGAAATGTAACATTTGAAGGAAGCAAGTTCAAATTATGTATCTTCTTCTCAAGAAAACTGAAATTCATGGAAGGAACATGAAGTAAACATGCATATATTATCTATTGTATATTGTACGGCATTTTCCATTTTGACTTTCGTTTTAGGATGAAATCTAGATTGAATTTATTGTTGTGGACAATTATTGAATTGTTATTAAAACTTGTTTAACATTTTGTGTAAGTATTGAAAAATTGTTTGCAGTGAGCTAAGTTGATAATGCGAGTATAGAAGGGGTTTTAGTTTTTATGGACGTTTTACATCGGGTTTTAGATTGATCAAGTGAACAGGTGAAAAATTGTGCTATAGTACTTGATGATACTCTCAATGATGTGATTATAGTATAAATGGGGGTCATATTGCAATTTTCCCCCAGAAAAATTCCGAAAAATGAAGCTTTTCACATCAGTTGATAAAATAACCGATGTGATTGCTTTTCTACATGGGTTATAACCGATGTGGAAAACATATGTTCTGGAAAAAATTGAAACTTTTCACATCAGTTGATAAAATAACCGATGTGAAAGCTTTTCTACATGGGTTATAACCGATGTGAAAAACCTATGCTCCGGAAAAAATTAAAGCTTTTCTACATGAGTTGTTTTAGACCCGATGTAAATTCTTTCACATCGGTTATAACCGATGTGAAATACCATTTAAAACGCCGTTCTGGACAATCTTCTAGATCGGGCACTGCACGACCGATGTAGAAAGATTTTTCACATCGGTAGTTTGGCCGATGTGAAAAGTCTCTACTTTTCACATGGGCTGGAACAACATCGGTTGTCTGACCGATGTGAAAAGCCTTTTTTGACCGATGTGAAAAGCCTTTTTTGTACTAGTGCTGGTCTGATCGTGTCTGATCTGGTCTGCTTAAGTCTGTTCTTATCTGGTATGGAATTGAAAAAAGTCAAAAAGAAAACATCCTAACATGACTTTATTTTCCAAGTTTGGAAGCAATTAATTCTAAACAATGAAGAAAAACGTACTACTTGTACTTCTGATGAAACAATTAGTAACACAAGATGGGGGTGAATTGTGTGTGTGTGAAGTCGTTGCAGTTTTTCGCCAAGTTCTAGTGTGGGGTATA